CGTTTGCTCAACAACGTATCTTTCTTGATGAACAGGTGCGGTTTTCTAATGATATCGCCATCTACAATGAGTTAAACGCTTTGCAAGTTGTTAGGGGCACATTATCCGTCGATCATTTATTGCGAGCTATTCAGTTTATTTTTCGCAAACATAAAGTATTACACACATCTCTCACCTTTAGCAACACTGACAGTGCTGTACAACAGTGTATCACTAATAATCACGAGACATTCACAATTGTTGATAAGCGAATGTTTGAAAATGAAAACGATCTGACGGATATTCTCTATGAACTAACTGTCAATCCAAGAGTATTTGATTTATCTGTTGGTCGAGTTTTTCATTGTGAAATACTTCGACAAAAAAATTCTATCACTACAAAACAAAACAGAACACTCGTTACAAGCTCTGACGTCGTGGTTATTGCTTTCCATCATGCAGCGTATGATCGATCATCTCGTATGATATTTTTCAATGATCTCTGCATGGCATATAATAACAATACAGCAAGATCAATCGATGAAGAACCATTGCAATATATTGATTATGCTGTTCACGAATGCCAAATGGATATGAATCTTTCACGTGACTTTTGGCACTCGGAACTTCAAGGATATAATTTTGAATGTCGATTGTTACTGCCAAACGATCGACAACGTTCTTCAACTGATCGACGATCTGGTGTGGCTGCTTTAGGTGAAATTTCCTTTGAGAATAATGCTGCAGCAGCATTTTTAAATTATGCTTCGTCACGTCAACTAACGCCTTTCCAACTGGGTCTCGCATTATTTTATGCGTTTCTATTCAAGTTAACTTCTGGTCAAAATGATTTGTGTATTACTTGCCTGAACGCAAATCGATATAGAAATGAATTGCAAGATCTGATTGGAATGTTTATTGCAACATTACCCTATCGTACTTTTATTGATTCTCATTGGTCATTTGATGAACTTGTCAAACATGTACAAGAAAAATGTTTATCGATCCTTTCACATTCTAACTATCCGTTGCAACATATGCTCGCTGATTTTCATCTCAACCAATCAAATATTCCTTTTCTCGATACAGTGTTCGACTTTATTACTGTTCCTTCAGGTGTCGAACAGTTGTCTTTTAACGGGGTAGCTTTGAAACACGTATCACTACAGCAATCTTCTGAAGTTGCTAAATTTGATTTCATGTTGATGTTTAATTTTAATCCAACTTTGGATGATAATAGATTATCATGTCGTTTTATCTGTTCAAATGAGATATTTAGCCAGATCGTAGTGAATCAAATAACTCAACGATTTCAACAACTTTTCTCACAACTATTCGGAACTACTTCAAGCTCGACTTCAGTTGAACAGTCTGATATGTCAATACGGAAACTTACTCTTGTTCTACCGGAAGAACTTAGTGAAATACAGAATACAATTTTTTCTCGTGAAGCAAATATTGTAAAAGAGGGTGAGTCTTGTACATCGTTGATATATTTAGAGAAATCTGCACGTCAGTGTGAGTTTTCTCGCCCCAAAACTATTGTTTATGCAAAAAAAGTTGTGAAAGTAAGAATTTAAAGTAGGAATTTGATAACAATGGATTTAAACGACACAATTTTAATGGGATTGGCAATGTATTAATTTGAAATAATCAACTTGAATTGATTTAAATCCAATACTTATCATTAAAAAAAATGTATATTTTCGAATTTTGATCAATGTTTTTAAACTTAATTGATTGTCAGGCCATTAAAATCGTTCCGTTTAAATCAATTTTTCATCAGATTTCTCATGTAAAGTCTTATTTGCACAGCTTTTTTAACATGGGTATATCAAACTTGCGATTAGACTGCCCCCGATCCCCAGTTTCTTCCCGAACTCAGTCCTTTTGTGGTCGGGATCGGGATGGAAATATGTGGGACGCCCTTATTCACTTCATGTAGAAATATAACGCCTTAGAAAATTGTTATAATCTTGAGTAAAAAATATTTATTAGAAACAAGTCAGATGCATATAAAAAAATAACTTCTGTCTGGGTGATGTAGATGTGTATAGTGATATGAATTGAGCATTAGGTGCTTTGAGAGGAATGCGTAATAGATTATCCTCAGCGGTTTGATTTCTTTTTTTCCCAAACCAAATTTTGGCTCGTTTTTATTGGCATTACTTTGGATCAATTGCGGGCGAAAATCCCATGATAACACGGAACGGCACCGGATGTTATCCCATTTATTCTTTGTTGGACAAATATACCTGAGAAATTCGCAAAATAAGGTCTAACCGGGACTAGGACTGGAGTCTCGTTGGAAAACGGACTCGAGACAGCAGATTGTCCCCTCCCCCTATAGTCTACCTTACGGAATACTACTTATTGTAGTTGTTTTAAATCCTAGAAGTTCTCACTCTGGATCTTTCATCATGCACAGGCATCCATATTCATTAAAAGTATCTTGAGCTACGCCGACCACTTGAAGTTCTAAACGGGCAAAAAGGAATAGCTGTATTCTTCTAGAAAAACATTGCCATGGTAGACCAGGTTGTACCAATCCTGCATAACTTTAAGTGTCTAGTCACAAGTACAAATACTGCGAGGACATTATAATGTCCTTTAGCCGACTTTTACAGAATCCTAATTACTCTACTATTTTTGTGCTATTTTCTACTTCGAATCCACTACTTTCCCTCACAGAACAGCTTAACTTTCCACGACTACTCCGCTGCCTCCCCTCCCTAACTCTTCACACCTGTGAAGACACCTTAGATGTTTCCATTACACCCATCAATAGAAATGGAAAAACAAATTTCAAGAATTTTTATACGGCCCAGCTTTTAAAATAATATTCCAATGATGGTTCAAATAAAGCTAAACATTCGCCTGTCATATTCGGTTGCTATAGCACCAGCATCATTTGCACAAACTCGAATTCTACTCGATCAACAAAATCTTTCTCATGTCGGTCAATCGCTCATCGCAAACCACAATCTACCTTTCATGTACGGCCC